AAAAGATAAACAGTGAATTCACCAAAACAGAAAATAGGCAATGTAAGGTTAGATATTTACAATACCAACATTTCCCAGCTGTTTTGTGTTATTGACTTCTAGGTCGCCTCTGTGGGGTCTTAGAATATATATATATATATATATATATATATAAAATTCATTTATGTATTTGAATGGGAGTGTGACTGAGAAGGAGAGAGAGAGAGAGAGAGAGAGAGAGAGAGAGAGAGAATCTTCCATTAGTTGGTTCACTCCCTCAATGGCCACCACAGTCAGGGCTAGGCAAGGCTGAAGCCAAGAGACAGGAATGCCGTCCTGGTGCTCCATGGGTGGCAAGGGCCCATGTATTTGGGTCACCTTCTGCTGCTTTCCGAGGAGCCTTAGCAAGAAGCTGGATCAGAAACAGAGCAACCCAGCATTCAAACTGGCATTCTGATATGAGATGCCCTTGTCCCAAGCAACAGCTTAACCTGCTACAACACAGTGAAAACCACTGAGAGTATATTGTTGTACTTTTTCTATTCTTCTTTTTACAGATTTATTTATTCATTTATTTTTGTATTGCTTCAAGTTTGTTAAAGTACATAATGTGATCTATTGGATGAATGTCAATTAGATCCAATTGATTTCTGAATCAATTAACCTGAAATAAGAAGTAAACTTGATTGTTTATATTATGAAATAATACAACAAGCATCAGCAGAATAATACACATTATTTTCAAACTAACAATGAGCATTTGCTAAATTGACCACTTTCTGGATAGCTCCATAATATCCAAATATTGAAATTTTAAAAATATAAATCTAAATAACTCAAAAGTCAAAGAAGAAATCTTAAAACCAGCTCAAATATTTAAGCTAAATAAAAATGAAATACAATTTATCAAAATTCATGATGTACAGGGAAAACAGTGCTTACGTGGAGATTTGTAGAACTGAATGTATGTATTAGAAATGAACAAACATCTAAAATGAATAACTCAATCTAGAGAAAGAGAGAAATCTAATCCTAGAAATGGAGAAGAAAATAAGAATAAAGGAGCAGAAATTGATAGCACTGAAAGCAGAAAAATGACAGGAAAAAGACCCTGCTACTTCCATCAATGAAAATAATAAACCTTGAACTAGGCTAACCAAGAAAAATCACGAATTACTAACATAAAAAATGAAATAAATGTTATTATGATTGATCCCATGGAAATTCAAAGATAATAAATGAAATTATGAGCAAACCTAAGCCCCAGTTTGTTAAAGCTACCAAAACTCCAAAAAGGAGAAATAATCTTCATAAATATAATTAGAAACTGAATCAATGAAACTTTTCAGAAAAGACATCACTAAGCCTGTATTGTTTTACTAGTGAACTTGCCAAACATTAAAGGAAGAAATGAACAGGTTTTAGAAAACTGAAACACAGCACACTCTGGTCTGTCTAATAAGGCTAGCAATTCTCTAGTGTTAATTAGATCATGTAGATTGATGCCACTGTTTAGGTCATCAACATCCTTACCAATTTTCTGCTACTCTGTCATACCAGTTACTGACAGAGGGACAGAAATGTATTCAACTGTCATAGTTGAGTTGTACATTTCTCTTTTAAGTTTCACATCATATATTTTGATGCTTAAATTGTTTAGAATTATTGTTCCCGTAGATAATTTATCCCTCTATCATTACATAATGTTCATCTTTACCCAATATCTACTTCTTTGTTATTAAACTTATTTTATCTCCAATAAAGCCACCCCACATTCTTTTTATTATCTTAGAAGTCTGTCTTCCTTTATTTCTTTGCTCTTAACCAATCAGTATTTTTGTATTTAAAATGGGTTTCCTGTAGACAACAAGCAGTTGTATCTAGTGTTTGTCCCTCTCTGCTTATAGTACATTGTCCCTTTTCCAATTAGAATCTCAGCTGTAGTAATCATAGATATTTTAAGTTCTCTGTGGGATAATTTCATTTCTATATCTGATTTTGATGCTTGCTTTGTCTGCAATCTATTTACTCTTGCTTTTATTATGCTTTATAATTTGTGTGTGTGTGTGTGTGTGTGTGTGAGAGAGAGAGAGAGAGAGAGAGAGAGAGAGAGAGAGAGAGAAAGCCAGATATATTGTATCACCTTCTAAGGGTTAAAGTAAGTAGGCCTTTAATGTGAGGATTTATGTTAATTTGACTAGCAGTTGAGTTCAGTTTGATGTTTCTTCTAACTACAAATGCCAGAGCTTCAAATTCTCTGTGTCATTGTTTTTGTCTCTGCTGACTTTGGACTTCAGTAAACATTTCTCCTCAGGGAATGTCTGTGGGTGCCAGAAAGAGACTGATTATCTGTGAAATGGCAGAAGGCCACAGCATGGTCTGCCTGCACATAACTTCATTTGCATGGATTCAGTGTAGTGCTCTGCTCAGGACAAATTCAAGTTCTCCTTTTTGGAACTGTCTAGATTTTCTCCTTGAATGATTTTGATCAACAGCTTATTGAACCTATGGATACAGAACCATGGTTATGGCGGGCTGAGTGTATATAGTAAATTTTAGGCACCTGGCCAGCATTAAGGCTAATTGCCCATGTACTCAACATTAATTTCAGGTTTTTTAAAATGTAAACTAGATAATTTATCTGGACTGAATCAAGCTAGAAGTTTGATTCTTTCACTAGTAGTATTGTTTGTTCATTTGTTTCTACCTAAACAAAATCTTTCTCAAAAAGCATCTGTTTTAAGTTGATATTGACTTACTGGGATGTGTTTCCCTGAAGTGAAGAGTTATTTACTGGTCAAGGTTCAATCAAATATTATATACAGACATTCATTCTCTAAGTTTTCTAAGAAATGAAGCAAGACAATATGAAAGGATAGCATTCATCTGAAAACACTACCATTGAATAATTTTTCTTTCAGTGACATATAGTGTATTCTAAGTCTAAATTTAAAGGGTTTATATGCTTTCTCTTTTGATTTGTTTAGCAAATGACACTGAAAAAAAACCAATTTTTGTGTCTAACATTAAACATAGCTAATTGAATTTTCTAGTCATTGACATAAAGTTTAGAATAAAATTTTACTTTGAAATACATTAAAAATATAATGAGCATACTAAAATATTTCTGATGATACAAATCTTATAGCAATAGTCTTTTTTTAAAAGATGTGTTCTTTTTTTTAAGATTTATTTATTTTTATTTGAGATACAGAGTTACAGACAGAGAGAGGAAAAAACAGAGGGAGGTCTTCCATTTGCTGGTTCACTCCCCAAATGGCTATGATATCCAGAGTTGGGCCAATCTGAAGCCAGGAATCAGGAACTTCTTCCAGGTCTCCCACGCAGGTGCAGGAGTCCAAGCACTTGGACCATCTTTCATTGCTTTCCCAGGCCACCAGCAAGGAGCTGGATCAGAAGTGGAGCAGCCAGGACTCAAACCAGTATCCATATGGAATGCTGGCACTGCAGGAAGGGGCCTTTCTACATCACATCACTGGCCCCAACAATAGTCTTTTTAATTTGACAATTGCCTTGGTCATTTTCCAAATTCTTAAATATATATAATCTTTTACAAAAGCTCTATATAATTATATATCTAATGAAACATTGTTATTAGTAAATATAAGAAAAGGTAGCAATTATAATAGACTTCTGGCATGCATTTTTGAATATACATACAGTAATTTATTGCTTACTTGAAGAGATGGTGCTGGGATCTCATTTCTGCTGTTTCATGTTCTCACATTTTTTTCTTCCTTTGTTTTTCATACCTGTTCATGGACAGGAAACAGGTGTTTCAATTAGTGGGAGTAAATAATCAAAACAAACCTGTAAAGCTTGAAATCTCCAGAGTTTACAAAGAATATATTACTTTATCAGAGCAGACTTGAGAAAGTAAAGCCAATGCTAATTTTCTTTAATGGCACTGTCAGACTCACCACCATAAATCAATTATATTCCAGCACATTTCTTGTACATGATCCTATAAAGTTAAAGACAAGTGAAGACTGGGTCGTTATACAACAAAATAAGATAGCTTTAAAAGACCAATTTCGTAATTCAAGGAAGAGTGGATATGGAGGAGAAAAGGAAGGAATAATAATAGCTTATCATCTAAACATTTAAACTGGTTTTGTGTAGCTTAATTTTCACATAATTCTAGACCCAAAATGTCCACAAAATTTCACAAAAAATGGAATTTATGGATTAAGCTCATTTTCTTTAGCTATGTAATTCAATTAACAATCTTTTTTAATTGTGATGATTTAATGGTAAATATGCATTCCTATAGTATTTGCTCATTTCATTTCTTTCTATTCCTCATCAACATATTTGCTGAGCTTCTGGTATATTCAAAGTTCTGAGAATATGAAGATGAATAAGGAGTTGAAGACTTTGGGCCAACAAAACAATACTGTAAATAATATTGTGGTAATCGAACTTACATGAAAATATGGCCTTTTCTTTAATCAGGCTGTGAAAATAGACATGGTTCAAGCCGGTTTCTTTTTTTTTTTTTTTTTTTTTTTTTTTTTTTTGGACAGGTAGAGTTATAGAGAGTGAGAGGGAGAGACAGAGAAAAAGGTCTTCCTTCCGTTGGTTCACTCCCCAAATGGCTGCCATGGCTGGCGCTGTGCCAATCGGAAGCCAGGAGCCAGGTGCTTCTTCCTGGTCTCCCATGCGGGTGCAGGAGCCCAAGCAACTAGGACATCCTCCACTGCACTCCCAGGCCACAGCAGAGAGCTGGACTGGAAGAGGAGCAGCCAGAATTAGAACCTGGCACCCATATGGGATGCCAGCGTGGCAGTTGGAGTATTAACCAAGTGAGTCACGATGCCAGACCAAACCTGTTTCAAAGTTAGCAAGAAATAGTGGATCTCTCAAGCTTATGTTGTAATATTAAAGTTCCACAATTATCCAGTTTATTAGAATTCTTACTGCTTTCTTGCCAATGATGTTCCAAAGTCTCCTGTGATATTTCTCAATCAAGATTGCTGCAACACCCAGTACTAAGTGCTCCTTGCCTCTAGACAGCAACACATCCAGACCTGAACTGTGCATCCATAGGCCTTCCAGAAGCCGTGATTGACCAGTCTGCCTTCCTGAAAATGCTTTCCTGTAACATCTTACCCAGCAGTCCTATGGTTCTCCTAAAGAGAGGTCTTCCTTTCTGCAAAGGTAATAAAACAAACCTTTTGGATTATAAATTATTCCCTTGGTTTTGATTAGCTAGACTCTGTAAGCTGTGAAATCAAATGCTTACAAAATGCTAAATTCTCATTTTACCTGTTAAACAGTATGTTTTCTGTCTTGTATTTCTTCTTTGTTAAATTTTGTATTATAGAGAGCATATTGCGAGGGCACAAAAGTACTTTGAATTTTAAACACTTTATTACGAGATCCAAAAAAGCATCTATTAGGAAAGGTAGATCTCTTGGAATTATAACAAAAAACACTATGACATGTTAAGGCAAACCATCTGTGTATTAGAAAATCCAAGTATTCTTAATTTAAATACAAAATAACCCATAATATAAATCGCAAGTTAGATGTCAAGAATACAATTTTGGCATGTAAGCAAAAGGAATGTGTTAACTGTAAACAAAATTTCTTCTGGCGGAAAAGAACATCTTTATGTATTATTTAATGACTTTCTATTTAACCAAAATCCAAGATACATTTACATTTCAAATAATTCTATTTCTTATATACTTGAGAAAAAAACTGATATTAGACAGGGATAGAATGCTAGACTTGCAAATGTTTAGAATAACATTTTTCTTCACCAGAATCCTATCCTTTTGTGCATTTATATCTGTAATCATTCATTTATTCCTGCAGGTTTAAGCACGTTTTATAAGTGAAGGGTAGTGATAGATGCTGAAGATTCATACAGAATGTCACTGCACAACAGGGAGAAAATAGGAAAGCTGCACTACCATTTGCTGAACATGATACACTTTCACAAAATACTCTGTAGTCACAGATTAGTGAGAAAGTTTTCTGGGGCTGTGAGCGAAGGCTTTGCTTCTGGGTGATATCTGAACAATCCTAGTGCACTACTTTAAAGAAAAACAAGATTATATGTTGTCAGACCTCTGTTAATAGCTGTCATTTATCAAATAGTTACTCTGTGTTCTGCACTGTGTTATATAAAAAGGTTTATATGAATTACCTCTCTTAATCCTTATAGAAATCTTATGATTATGATGCCTTGCCGCAGCTCAATAGGCTAATGCTCCGCCTGCAGCGCCGGCACACCGGGTTCTTGTCCCGGTCGGGGCGCCGGATTCTGTCCTGGTTGCTCTTCTTCCAGTCCAGCTCTCTGCTGTATGCCAGGAGGGCAGTGGAGGATGGCCCAAGTCCTTGGGCCCTGCACTCGAATGGGAGACCAGGAGAGGCACCTGGCTCCTGGCTTCGGATCAGCGTAGTGCACCGGCTGCAACAACCATTAGGGGGTGAACCAACGGAAAAGGAAGACCTTTCTCTCTGTCTCTCTCTCTCACTGTCCACTCTGCCTGTCAAAATAAATAAATAAATAAATAAAAGATAAAAAAATAAAAAAGATAAGATTTTCGTGGCTTGAATATTTGTATTTGACTAAGGTTATAGAGAAAGGTGAAGCAAGAACCTGAAATTAGCTTTCCTCTTTCTAGATCTAGCATACTTTTTCAATGCTGGTATCAGTGTTGTGGGTAACTAATGGCTTTCCCATCTACAAATTTTACAATATATTGCATTTATTAAAAAAATGAACTGACATGCCAAAGACTAAAACTATATGAAAGTCACGGAGATTTTCTTCTTTGTACCAGAAAAGAATTAACTGATAACATTAAGACATAATGTATGAAAAGGAGGTGAAGTGATGATCTTAGGAGAATAGAAAGGAGATTGTGTGTGTGTGTGTGTGTGTGTGTGTGTGTGTGTGTGTATTACTACAGGGTTTCTTATGTTCTCTATATTGCATCACAAAACAAATAAATTTCACTCATTTAAGGAAGCTATTCATATAGGGAAGCTTTCTGCAGCTGGTTTCCAGGAATATTCAGAGCATGACTTGTTGGTAGGGGTCATGGAAAGAAAAAAAGGTTAATATCACTCTGGTCAGATGCATTTGGAAAATATGAAGCGGTAGTAGGTATTCACAAATCCCATTAATGTATTAACCAAACCAAGTGCAAACAAATGATCATCTAAAGTGTTAGAATATTTTTTCATTTTTCTTGTATTTACATTTGACAAATTCTCAATAATTCTCTTTTTAATCATGGGAATGAATTGGCAGGCTTTCTGGTACCAAATATCTATTTAAATGCTGTTTTGAGCTGTGCAAAGGCACAAGGGACAGGAGCATAATATCCCCTAAAGTTTATGCAAGTGGCACAGAAAAAAGTTTTCAATTTGTCTTTGATTTTCCTTAGAAAAAAATCACTTACAACTTATTTGTATATATACATATACACATACACACATGTGTACACATCATATATTGTGTATCTATGTGTGTACACATTTGATGGGTAGATATTTCTATGTGTATATGTGTGCATGTAAATGCTTATACATGTGTGTACATGTCTCTGTAGCTATATATATTAATCTAAAGTAAATACTGATAAAAGTTTTTCTAAAGAACCTCCATTTAATTTCATATTATTTAGAATGATAATAAATTAGCTAATTTAAAACATAATAAAATATTCTAGAATATTTCTAAAATGAAAAGTAATTCTCTTGGAAATTTGTAAAACAAAAAAGTCATTAGATATGTATATTATAATAGTTCCTAGCAATTAAATTACATTTTTCAGATATTTTCTGATGGAAATAATATTCTGGATAATGAAGGGGTGGGGGTGGTAATTTGCACACTAATACCTTTAGCCAGTGATTTCATTGGCGAATAATAAAATAAGTTTAAGTACAGTCAAGAATTTTACAGTAAAAATTCATTAAAATACAGAGCTTTTCAAAGAAATGAAAAAGTTCATTTAAGCTTAGTAATGAATATCAGTTTGAAGATACTATAAAATTATAGTAAAAGAAATATGATACTATAGGGAAAATAACGTAAGAATATGAGAGGAATAAAATATATTTGGGAGGCAAAAGCTGAGTTATATATTACAAAGAAAGAGACAAAACATGCAAAACTACTTTTAAAGGTAATTACAAAAAATGAATGATAAAGTTAAATTCTTTGCTTTTTAAAAAAATGTTTATTTGAAAGGTAAAGTAATTTATAAGGAGAGAGGGAGAAAGGGAAAGAGGGACAGAGGTAGAGAGGGAGAGAGAGAGATGAAGCGAGAGAGAAAGAGAGAGAGAGAGAGATTCTTCCATTCACTGGTTTATTCCTCAACATCCACGGCCGGGTAGGGTAAAGCCAGGAGCCTGGAGTTCCAGCTGAGTCTCCCACAGGAGTGGCAGGAACCCAAGTTGTTTGCGCATCATCTGCTGCATTTGGAGGGAACTGAGCAGAAGTGAAGCAGACAAGACTCAAACCAGTGCTCTGACAAAGGCTATCATTGTCGTGTGTGGCAACTTAACCCACTACACCACAACATGTGCCCTGAGTTCCATTCTTTATATTTATTTGAAGGGAAGTCATTAAACGTGGAAATGCCATGTGCCTTTCAAAGTGCATTGGAAAAGGGAGAAGACAGTGGAATTTTCTTTTCAGAGGCATTGTCAATAGCCCAACAAATATGTGGTAAGGAAATAAATGAGATATATAGTAATGAGAGTTGAAACAGAGTATAGAAGGTTTGATATTATTTTATGATAAAACAGAATAAATTATTTGAGTAAGTTCACTATAAAGATTTCAAAACAAATTCATAAAGAGTCTACAAGACACTGAGACAGCTTTTATATGAAGGAATGAGAAAGAACAAGCTATGACAGAGATGAAAGTGTCACCTGTATTAAAACAGAATTGCCACAATGAATTGACATTTCTTTTACATCACTGAAAAATCTACACATAGAAGTCAATATTAAATGTTTCGTTATAATACTTTGCACAGCTGATAATTAGAATACTTAACACTCAACAGCACTCAACTCAGAAGAGAAGAATGTATGTTTAAAAACACTAAAAATTTATATTAACAAATATACTTGTATTTGTATGCATAAGAATACATACTATAGGGCCCGCGCTGTGGCGCAGCAGGTTAACGGCCTGGCCTGAAGCGCCAGCATGCCACATGGGCCCTGGTTCGAGGCCCAGCTGCTCTACTTCCAATCCAGCTCTCTGCTATGGCCTGGGAAAGCAGTAGAAGATGGTCCAAGTTCTTGGGACTCTGCACCTGTGTGGAGACCTGGAAGAAGCTCCTGGCTTTGGATCAGTGCAGCTCCATCTGTTGTGGCCATCTGGGGAGTGAACCAGCAAATGGAAGATTTCTCTCTCTCTTTCTCTCTCTCTCTGCCTCTCTTTTCTCTGTGTGACTCTGACTTTCAAATAAATAAATAAATCTTTAAAAAAGAATACATACTTCTTCCTGTTTTAGAACAATATGTTATAGACTCATTTTCCCCACTAATCCTCTGTAAATACAATTAAATACACTTGAAATAATTCCAAAAGCAATGCTAAATGGCCTTTGCAAAGTTTATAAAAGAGTAGATTATGTACAGACCCCAGGATTTGAGGCACAGCATTGTAGTGAGCCACCTAAGTTTTCTTTTTGTTCCTCTAATATAGGAAAACAAAACCAAAATCCTGCTCTCTAACCAAGTGCAGGGCATCACAGACCTCATGGAAAGATCAGTTTCCATTTTTGATAGCCAGAGAAATGACACTTTCATTCTAGAAGAATGTCAATGCAAATGGCAGCCTATTTCTCATCTGAAGTAGTTTAATCATGAATGCCAAAAGAGAGTGTCACAACATTTTAAGGGTAAAAGAAAAATGTTGCCAATCATGAGGGCTGTGTCTTAGCAGGTAAATCCTCTGCCTGTGGCTCGTCATTCCATATGGGCGTTGGTTCTAGTTCTGGCTGCTGCATTTCTGATCCAGCTTTCTGCTATGGCCTGGGAAAGCAGTGGAAGATGGCCCAAATCCTTGGGATCCTGCACCTGCATGGAAAACCAAGAAGAAGCTCCTGACTCCTAGCTTTGGATTGGCACAGTTTCGGCCATGGTGGTCATCTGGAGAGTGAACCAGCAGATGGAAGATCTCTCTCTCTCTCTATTTCTCTCTCTCTCTCTCTGCCTATATCTCCCTGTAACTTTGACTTCCAGATAAAAATATAAATCTCTTTTTATTTTATCATTTTTAAACTTTTATTTAGTAAATATAAATTTCCAAAGTACAATGTTTGGATTATAGCAGCTTTTTACCCCCCATAACCTCCCTCCCATCTGCAACCTTCCCATCTCCTACTTCTTCTCCCATCCCATTCTTCATCAAGATTCATTTTCAATTATCTTCATACAATGACAATCTACTTAGTATTTACTAACTAAAGATTTCAACAGTTTGCAACCACACAGCAACACAAAATATAGAGTACTGTTTCGGTAGTAGTTTTACAGTTAATTCATATAGTACAACACATTAAGGACAGAGATCCTACATGGGGAGTAAATGCACAGTGACTCCTGTTGTTGATTTAACAGTTGACACTCTTATTTTTGATGTCAGTAATCACTCAAGGCTCTTGTCATGAGTTGCCAAGGATATGGAAGCTTCTTGAGTTCACCAACTAAGAATCTTATTTAGAAACGGCCATAGGCAAAGTAGAAGTTCTCTCCTCCCTTCGGAGAAAGGTACCTCCTTCTCTGATGACCTGTTCTTTCCACTGGGATCTCACTCACAGAGATCTTTCACTTAGGTGATTTTATTTTTTTTGCCACAGTTTCTTGGCTTTCCATGCCTGAAATACTCTCATGGGCTTTTTAGCCAGATCCAAAAGCCTTAAGGGCTGATTCTGAGGCCAGAGTGCTGTTTAGGACATCTGCTGTGTATCCCGCTTCCCATGTTGGATGGTTCGCTCCTTTTTAAATCTATCAGTATTAGCAGACACTAGTCTTGTTTATGTGGTCCCTTTGACACTTAATCCTATCATTATGATCAATTATGAACTGAAACTGATCACTTAGACTAGTGAGATGGCATTGGTACATGCCACCTTGATGGGATTGAATTGGAATCCCCTGGCACGTTTCTAACTCTACCATTAGGGGTAAGTCTGATTGAGCATGTGCCGAACTGTACATCTCCTCCCTCTCTTATTCCCACTCTTATATTTAACAGAGATCACTTTTTAGTTAAATTTAAACACCTAAGAATAATTTTAATTAAAAGTTAATCCAATGACCTTAAGTAGAACAAAAAAATACTAAAAGGTATAAAATAGTAAGTTGTTCCTCGACAGTCAGGTCAAGGGCTGTTCAAGTCACTGTGAGAAACACTGTCTTGTGTCGCTCCCCCTCTTCGCGGAGGAATGACACAGGACCCTGCACTGTTCTTTTGTCTGCTCGGCCCTCCCCGGGTTTGCTGCTGGTTCTTCCCGGGTTGGCTACCGTCCCTTCCACCTCCGTGGAAGGGCGGTTCC